CATTGTGGTAGCAATAGAACATTCCAAAGATCTGAGCACAATGAGAATTGAAGAGCTGCAGAGCAGTTTAGAAGCGCAAGAGTTGCGTTTGACTGAGAGAACTTCTGAAAGGGAAGTAGAGCAGCAGGCTCTGAAAGCAATTTCTGATAGGAGGTATCAGAAGCAGTCAGAAGCCAAGAGAAGATCTGATGGTGGTCAGAAGTCAGAAATCTCAACCTCTGATAGACAAAAGAATGCTCAGAAGGGAAAAGAGAAGTATGACAAGAAGAAGATCCAATGTTACTGTTGTAAGAAGTTTGGTCACTTTGCTAGAGATTGTTGGTCAAACAAGGAGAAGAAATCAGAAGAAGCAAATATAGCCAGAAGTTCTGATGACGAATCTGTGCTATTGATGGCCTCTGAATCTGATGATCTGACAGACTGGTGGTATATGGACACTGGCTGTTCAAATCATCTTACTGGAAACAAGAAATGGCTGGTTGACTTTGACTCTGAAAAGAGGACAAAGATCAGATGTGCTGATGACAAATATCTTAATGCAGAAGGTATGGGAAATGTCAGAGTGACTCTGAACAATGGGAAAATAGCATTGATTCAGAATGTGTGGTATGTACCTGGCATCAGAAGCAATCTGATGAGTGTGGGACAATTAATTGAGAAAGGTTTCTCAGTTACCATGAAGGACAATCTTCTAAAGCTGTATGACTGTAATCAGAATTTGATTATGGAGTCAGAACAGGGAAGGAATAGAACATTCAAGGTGAATGTCAGAACTGCAGACTCAGAGTGTCTTAGTGCAACAAGTACTGAGAAGGAGAGTGAGCTGTGGCACAGAAGATTTGGTCATTTGAATTTCAGAAGCTTACAACATCTGAATTCAAAGAAATTGGTACATGGAATTCCTGCAATTAAGAAGCCTGAAAAGTCATGCAAAGTTTGCATGGAAGGAAAACAACCAAGATTGCCATTTGCATCAGAAGTTGCTCCAAGAGCAAAACATGCCTTGGGAGTTGTACACTCTGATGTGTGTGGTCCATTTCCAGTAGAATCAATTGGAGGGAATAAATACTTTGTGTTGTTTGTTGATGAATTCACAAGAATGACATGGGTATCCCTTATTAAGTTCAAACACGAGGTGTTTGATGAATTCAAGAAGTTCAGAATGAAGGCTGAGAATCAGAGTGGTCAGAAGTTGAAGATTCTTAGAACTGATGGTGGAGGTGAGTATAACTCCAAAGAGTTCCAGAAGTTCTGTGAGGAGAATGGAATTGAGCATGAGGTTACTGCTCCTTATACCCCTCAACACAATGGTCTTGCTGAAAGAAGAAACCGTACTTTGCTTGATATGGTGAGAAGCATGCTAAAGGAGAAGAAGCTTCCTCAGAAGCTCTGGGGAGAAGCTGTTGCCACTGCAACGTATGTACTCAACAGATGTCCTACGAAGAAGTTGAAGGAAATAGTCCCTATGCAGAAGTGGACTGGAGACAAGCAAAGTGTTAGTCATCTGAAGGTATTTGGTTCTGTTTGCTATAAACATGTTCCAGAAGCCAGAAGACAGAAGCTGGATGATAGAAGCAAAGTGATGATTCTGATAGGGTACCACAGTACAGGTGCATACAAGCTCTATTGTCCAGAAACTAATAAAATTGAATTCAGCAGAGATGTGATTGTGAAGGAATCAGAAGTTTGGAATTGGGATAAGTCTCAATCTGATTCTGATGTTAGAACCTCTGAAGAAAGGCCAGAGTTAAGAATTTCTGAAGTTGAAGTAAACCCTGATATTGACTCTGACTCTGATACTGATTCAAACTCTGAAGAAGACTCAGAAGATGAAGGTGACCCAGATGACCCAGACTCTGATGATTCAGACTCTGATGGCAATCCAGATCTTGGTGGCAATTCAGACTCTGGAAATATGCCAGACTCTGAAGATGGTCAAAGCTCTGGAGGTCAATCATCTGAAGCTAGAAACTCTGAAGCTCAAGACTCTGAACAAGTTCAGAGACCACAAAGAATCAGAAGCGTTCCCAGAAGATTTGCAGAATTTGACATGCTGCAAGACACTGAAGTAGACTCTGAAGGAGAAGTTATTCAGTGTGCCATGTTAGTAGACTCTGAACCTATAAGTACAGAGGAGGCTCTTAAGCAGAAGCTCTGGCTGAAGGCCATGAAAGAAGAACTTGATGCTATAGAAAGAAACAAGACTTGGAAGCTGACAGAACTTCCAAAAGACAAGAAAGCCATCAGCGTCAGATGGGTTTTCAAGCAGAAGTTAAAGCCAGATGGCTCAATTGGCAAACATAAAGCAAGGTTGGTAGCCAGAGGATTTCTACAGAAACCTGGGCTGGATTATTCTGAAGTGTTTGCACCTGTAGCAAGACATGAAACAATCAGAATGGTGATTGCAATAGCTGCTAACAGGAATTGGCCTCTGATGCATTTAGATGTAAAATCTGCATTTCTGAATGGTCCATTAGAAGAAGAAGTTTACGTGTCACAACCTCCTGGATTTGTGAAAAAGAATCAGGAAAGGATGGTGTACAGATTATACAAAGCTCTATATGGATTGAAACAAGCGCCCAGAGCTTGGAATCAGAAGATTGATTCATTTTTCAAGAAGCAAGGCTTTCAGAAATGTGAGATGGAGTACGGTGTCTATGTTCAGCATACTTCTGAAGGCAATATGACTCTGGTATGTTTATATGTTGATGATATACTATTGACTGGAAGTTCTGAACAGGAGATAGCCAAGTTCAAGAAGGTTCTAATGAATGAATTTGAAATGACTGATCTAGGCAAAATGACATACTTTCTAGGGATGAAGTTCAGATATTCTGAGAAAGGTATCATTTTGCATCAGCTCAAGTATGAATTAGAACTTCTGAAGAGATTTGATCTGAAGAATTGTAAGATGGCTGTCACACCTTCAGATACAAATCAGAAACTGGATTCAGACTCTGAAGGAAAGGATGTGGATGCTACAACCTTCAAACAGTTGGTTGGTTCTCTGAGGTATCTGTGCAATACCAGACCTGATATTTGCTACTCTGTTGGGATGGTTAGTAGGTTCATGAGTAAACCTAAGTGGTCCCATTATCAAGCTGCTGTCAGGATTCTGAGGTATATCAAAGGAACTCTGAAGTATGGAGTGTTATTTCCCTCTGGAGGAAATAATGAGTCAGAACTTCTGAGTTATTCAGACTCTGATTGGTGTGGAGACAGAGTTGACAGAAGAAGTACATCTGGGTACTTGTTCAAATTTCTGGGAGGTTCCATCTCTTGGTGTTCCAAGAAACAACCTGTTGTGGCGTTGTCAACCTGTGAAGCTGAATACATTGCAGGTGCTGTTACTGCATGCCAAGCTGTGTGGATTCTGAATCTGTTGCAGGATCTGAAGATTAAGGTAGACAAACCTCTGAAGTTGATGATTGACAACAAGTCTGCAATCAACCTTGCCAGAAACCCAGTGTTGCATGGGAGAAGCAAGCATATTGAGACCAAGTATCATTTTCTGAGACATCAAGTTCAGAGTGGAGTGTTAGAAGTTGTACACTGCAGCACTCAGAAGCAGTTGACAGATGTTCTGACGAAAGCTATCAAGACTGATCAATTTCTCAGATTAAGGGATGGAATTGGTGTTACAAGTTTTGATGGAATATGAATTAAGGGATGGTATTAGTAATAATTCATATTTTATTATATTATTTTCTTAAGCCCATAAGTTTGTTAGAGGGCATTTCAGTATTTTATCTTATTCTAGTAACCCTAGTTTTAGCCTATAAATAGGGTGACAATCATTGTAACTCTTAATACTGTTTCTTCTGCCGTCATTCTCTTTAATAAAATATTTCCCTATTTTCATCATTTATTCTATCTTTGCACCAATAATTTGGAGGCAAGAGTTTGATTTTGCAGAATATTATGATTGCAGAGTATTGAGAGTCTGCAGGATTTTTCCCAGAGTGGAAGTGGCTGTGATTGTTTTTTAATTATTATAATTCTTGTAGTGGGTTTAGCTTTTGTTTTTGGTAGGTGATGTAGCTAAGGCATTTTGTTTGATAGATCTCAATGTTTATTGTGCTAAGTTTCTGTTCTGTCCGTTATGTGCTTTTTTAACTGTTGTTATGGTAGCACTTCTTGTGCTATTGTTCTTAATGAGTTTGGTTTTTTCAAAAAGATACTCGACACCCGCAGCAAGCAATTTTGACGTGAAGAACATAGTGAATGAACAAGTTCAAACTCATATAATGTTTGCATTAGTAAAACTTACTCTAAACCCAAAATTTATACGAATGACTCCACAAACCAACAAGGACATGTATTTGTATAAATTTTGTGTATTTAATAGGTGAGAGCATTGGACATTATTAACAATGGATAAATGTATGAATATAGGAAAAAAAAATTAATATCAAATCATGCTAAGTGAATGAAAAACTTGAAAAAGATATCTTCGCATGTCTACTACTTTACGGCAACACACGTGCCAAATCCTCACTCTCCCATGACTCTTACTTCTTTTTCAAATCTCTCTATCTCTCTTAGATTATCTCGTACACAACCAAATCAACCGACGCGAATCACGACACGTGACTATCACTTTCCAACACGTGTCTCTTGTTTCTCGGAACTTTCACGTAGCTTCACGCGTAACACAAATCTCACCGTTCATTCTCTCAACCAATCAAACCATCACAACCGTTCCCTTACTCAACCGACCACAAATACGCTACGCAACACAAGGACACGCGTCGTAAAACTAACGGCTAATCACAATTTGAATTTTTATAATCTTATCCTCAAACTCACTCGTTCTCTTTATAAATCCGAATTTCCTCAACATTTCATTTCCCTAGTCACTTTAAAAAAGCAAACATCAAACACAGTAAAGAGTGAATAAGAAAATTTCAAATTCTGTTACTATTAACGGAATCGATTTTTAATTTAATTTATATTTATAATTTTTGCGCTTCATAGTTTTTTGGAAGGAGAAGAAAAAAATGGCGTTGAGTATGACTCATCCGATCGGGAGTCTCGTTGGAACTCCAGCTCCGATTGAATCGACTGTCGGAGAGGCACCAGCAACGGTGAACGCGGCGGCAGTGTGGAAAACACCGTCGACGAATCTACGTTGTAAAGCAAGTAGGTCAGATGTTAAAGGAGACGGATTATCACCGCCTATGAGTCCGTGTAGATCGCCGGTACTTGGCGGAAACCGGCCAGATCTGAATGTAGCGTGTCAAGCTTTTACGATGGAAGCGGAAACGGCGGTGGAGAAGGAGCATGTATCGGGAGCGAGATCGAAGAAAGGGAGAGGGAGTGGAGTGCCGGTTTATGTGATGATGCCGTTAGATAGCGTGAGTATGGGGAACGGTGTGAATAGAAAGAAAGCGGTGAATGCCGCGATGGCTGCGTTGAAGAGTGCTGGTGTGGAGGGGATTATGATGGATGTGTGGTGGGGATTGGTGGAGAGAGAAGGTCCGGGTGAGTATAATTGGGGCGGTTATAATGAGCTTATGGAAATGGCGAAGAAGCACGGGCTTAAGGTTCAGGCGGTTATGTCGTTTCATCAATGCGGTGGTAACGTCGGTGATTCTGTCACGTGAGTCTCTTCCTTTTTTTCCTTTCTTTTTTAGTATTAATTATTCTTAGCATAAATCTCCGCTAGTGGATAATTACTATATTAAAATTTTTTATTTTATTTTAATTGATAATAGTGAGATATATAGGAAAAAGGAGGTGGAAAAAGAGAGATTAGCCTCCAACAAAAGCGTACAATTGAAAGGGAGAATATTAGTATATTATCAAGTATCTATACATTTATTTACCAATATGATTATTAATATATAAAACGAAAGATATATAATTATTAAGAGTAATACTTCTAGTTATTCAATTCAGATGTGCGACTCATTATTGTTGACTAGCATGATTCTATTTTTTATAGCTTAGAAATAAATGTAACATAGTGAAGATGATTTAGTTGGGGACATATATACATGTTTTCTAGTTTGATTATATATGTTCAATTTTCTTATTTTCTTATTTATCTTAAAATCATTTTAAAATACTACCAAAGCTTCAAGAAATATATCAATATCAATATTGTAAGGTGTTATTAGATGTTATGTATATAGTTATTTGTTTCCAATACTAATTAATGTATATTCATTTGATTATTTATTGATAATATAGGAAAATGAATATTTGATTGTATCACAAAGTTGGGGTTAAGGAAAAATCATGGTGTTATGTATATACTAATTTTAGATAAAATATAATTAGTTTGTTTTTTTAATAAACTATGAATTGTTTTTGTATTTTATTGTGTAAAATTTTTTAAATATGCAATTTATAAAAATATACTGAAAATAACTAATGATCATACGGCATAACTTTGCTTTATAATTTTTTATTACTTGGTGTTAGCTGACGGGCTGAATACGAAACAATAAATAAAATAATTTATTTATATAAAAATTGTGCCATTACTAAGTCCAATTTTTAAATTTTTTTTGTTTGTGGAAAAGTCCAATTTTTTTAAGAATAGAAGAACATGATTAAGAATTTATTTATATAATAAAATTGTGCCATCAGTAGGTCTACTAAGTATGGCTGTTAAAACTAGGGGTTTCTTGATTTTAATAATTTTTTACATATATTTTTGTAATAATTTGTTGCTATTAGAATATTATAATCGATAATGTGAACATGTGACGTGAGTTCTTGGCCAAAAATATGCTTAAAGTGTGGTTTTGTGATAGGAAGATGTGAAAATCATGTGTTTGGGGGTTGGACTTTGTATTTTTTTTTTTTTTTTTTACATTGCTTCTAAAAGTAGTTTTTTCTACTTGTCATGGAAAGTGGTGTTAGAAATTGGAATTGGATCTTGAAAATTGTATTTGGAAATATGAATGTTACTATTATTTCGATTATTTGCTTACTGTAATCTTAAACTGTTTGTATTAAATTATGTATACATCAAAATTAAAAATCATATTTTACAATAGTTCACTAAATATTTGAATAAATGTTAAAATTATTGTAAAAAGATGCGTGTTAAATTATCAAAAGAAAAATCGAAGTAACGTATTAAACATGCAACAGCTCTTTTTATTTGTGACCTCAGGTGAAGTGTTTGGTTTCGTGGTGGAAAAGTAGGCAACATCTACGTAAGGGTAGACTAAAACCAATTCACATGAATCACATCCACACTGTCACAAAAGTGGACTATCTAGTTGAGATTAGTGGACCCAATTTCTCAATTTATTTTGTGATCTGTGCAGCTATACTTTATCACTTTTCTGTTTGAGTCTGAATTAATTTATCCAAAATAATTTTCTAAGCTAAAGAAATTAATTTTAAAAAAAAAAACTCAAGGACAAATTTAATCTCAGAAAAAGAAATTAAAAAAAAAAGTAAGCGCCTCATATCCAAAAGAATTTCAAATTGATCTATGCTTAGACACATGGAGTATTGTCTTTTGGCTTATATATTGATGTTATGTGTGCCAGTATTCCTTTGCCTAAATGGGCTGTGGAGGAGATTGATAAAGATCCTGATCTGGCATATACTGATCAATGGGGAAGAAGAAACTATGAATATATATCACTTGGATGTGATACTTTGCCAGTACTCAAGGGTAGAACCCCAGTTCAATGTTATGCTGATTTCATGCGTGCTTTCAGAGACAATTTCAAGCACCTTCTTGGGGATACCATTGTGGTAAATATCTTCCCCCATTGTTTACAATTTTACCTACTTTTGTTGGTTATGTGTGTTGTTTCTGTTCTATCTTTTTCAAAACCATTAAAAGATGTTTTCACTATTTATTATAGGTAAATTTAGAAATAGAAAATAAAAAGGAATTTTAGTGACTGCATAGATATGAAATCTTTGAAATCAATGCGACACATTGTGGCTTAGATAATGTTTGGACGGACAATGAGTTTGACTATATCATAGTTTTGACCAAAGGCTACATTTTGAAGCTTCAACAAAAGTTATTTGACATTGCGATTTAGTCTAATTTGACTTATTTTAAATATACACGTTTAAACATATACTTATCACTAGGTGTTTTTTATATCATGTTATGTTTTGTTATACTACGTATAGTTTCTTACCAGAACTTCTATCATGGGTTCAATTCAGGAAATCCAAGTTGGAATGGGACCAGCTGGTGAGTTACGTTACCCGTCATACCCAGAGCAAAACGGGACATGGAAATTCCCAGGAATTGGTGCTTTCCAATGTTATGACAAGGTATATTTATTTATCTATATGTTTTCTCCTCACTCTATTGAACTCTTTTCCTTTTTCACTTGTTTTCAAGTGTCACTTTGCTTTGTGTTTCTCATGTTTTTAGTTTTATTTCAATCAATGCAGTATATGTTGAGCAGCTTAAAAGCTGCAGCTGAAGCTGCTAATAAGAGAGACTGGGGAAGCACAGGCCCAACTGATGCAGGCCAGTACAACAACTGGCCAGAAGACACTAACTTTTTCCGCAAAGAAGGTGGAGGCTGGGATAGTGAATATGGCGAGTTTTTCCTCACATGGTACTCTCAGATGTTGTTGGACCATGGTGAGAGAATTCTCACATCAACCAAATCAATCTTTGACAATACTGGAGTTAAAATATCCGTGAAAGTTGCTGGTATTCATTGGCACTATGGTACAAGGTCTCATGCTCCAGAGCTAACAGCAGGATACTACAACACCCGTAAACGTGATGGTTATCTCCCTATTGCTCAAATGTTGGCACGTCACGGTGCTGTTTTCAACTTCACATGTATTGAGATGCGTGACCACGAACAGCCACAGGATGCACTTTGCGCACCTGAAAAACTCGTGAATCAAGTGGCTTTAGCCACCCAGAAGGCACAGGTTCATCTTGCTGGCGAAAATGCATTGCCACGGTACGATGAACATGCACACAAGCAGATATTAAAGGCGTCACAGTTGAATGTCGAAGGTAACTTGGATGACACAGAGATGTGTGCATTTACTTACCTGAGGATGAACCAACAATTGTTTCAGCCTGATAATTGGAGAAAGTTTGTGGCATTTGTGAAGAAGATGAAAGAAGGAAAAAGTACTGATAAATGTTGGGAACAAGTCGAGAGAGAAGCTGAGCATTTTGTGCATGTTACACAGCCTCTTGTGCGAGAAGCTGTTGCAATGATGCACTAAGAATTGTTTGGTATATAAGGTCTTGGGAAGCAGTCACAATTAGGCGGTGAAAGTTTTAGTGAACCATCAGCTTAATTTTGTGCCTGAAGATTGTATAAATTTGTATTGTATTATTGTTGTATTTTACTTCATTTTGTTACTTTTCCACTTAAAACTTCTATTTGTTATCCTTTACAATAACATTTGGCATAGTTAATGCTTAAATAGTTTCGAGGCAATGTCCTATAAAGTTGCTTATTTCCACATCATTCCTTATTGTACATGAAACAATATTTTGTTAAATGTTTCCATAAAGTACTAATTGTTCATCTTTTTTTTTTTTGAATTCATGGATTGTTCATCTCTTGAACCAAATGCATCTTCAGACGGTCCTGTTTCATATCATGGCGCCAAACCCTTGCCTCATCCTCCTTTAAAAAAAAATATTTGACCTCTCATTAGTAAGTTTTTCAATTTTTTTTTTCTTTTTGTGTTTTGATTTGTAATTAGTTTTTTAAAATACATTAGTTGTTTTATGTACATTAGATAGCAGTGTAAGCGAAATTGGTAGTCTTAAAGAACATGCATTGATAGATTTTTGGAGGGTTAGGGTAGTTATGGTGTTTGTGCCATGGCTGAGAATCGCAGGTTGGTCCAGAGATGCGTCTTTGGATTTTCTAAGTGCTATTCTTGAAGATGCATCTTTTGGTCTCAAGCAAAAATTTTGCAGATTTTGTGGATTTATAGTTACATGATATTTATCTATGTGTCGGTTTGTAACATAGATGCAATGACCGAGAACAACGCTGAAAACAATGTTGGTAGAGTTAAACTAGGACATGTGTACTGAACTACGTCGGTACGACGTGAGAGAGCCGCAACTAGGACCGCAAGGGCGCTGGTTAATGATAACTTGTTTGACGGTTTGTAACCATCAAGTTCGTAGCGTTTAGGTTCTGCTTATCGTAGTCGTCTCTCTTAAGCATCCACTTCACGGGTCCACGAGTCCCTATATGATGCAGTAAACCCTGAAGTCACTGAAGCCCCCTGAAGGTCAGGAGGAAGTCATCGGTCCATTAGAGAGTTATCTGGGAGGCCCATTTGACACCTCTTTACTTCTTCTCCATGCATATTATGTTAGGTATATTTCTTTTACAATAAAAATGTTTTCAACTAATTAAAAAAATACTGATGATAATATTTTATTTTTACAGGAGCGTACATGTTTGAAATTGGTAAACCATGTGTAGAAGATATTGGAGTTCGAGAAATCCACTGCTAATTAGTTTTAAGATGTTCTGCATTATTCTGGTCTTGTCGGTTTATGATATGCTACATACCTAACCATATCCTATGGCATACAAGCAGCTTTTGCTGAGAGGTGACATTCAGAGACTTCATCTTTCCACATTCCTATAGGCGATATGAACATCACCTTAGAGGACATCTCATGCCTCCGACATCTTCCTGAAAAGGAAAAAATATTGGGCCATAGGAGGACCGATCGAGAGGAAGGCGTCAATATGATGGTCACCCATTTGGTGGCTGACCTAACCGAGGCCTCATAGGAGGCACATGAAACATGAGGTGTTCATGCTAGTTTTTTTTTGGTTGAAAAATATGTATAAAGACCATCTAGAGAAGGTTGTGGACACCAAAGGCAATGACATGCAGTTGGGTACCATCATACTTACACATATAAGTGTTATCTCTTGTTCTTGGTTGCCACGTCTATTTTTGTGGAAAAAATTGCAACCTATGTTGATGTAGTCATTCTTCACTATTTCATAAACTTGGCTGCGATTCATGAATACAACTGAGAGGCTGTCTGTTTGGTTGGTCTACCTGTACATACATGGTTGTTGAGTTAAGAAATATTATGCAATACATTCGGAGGAGGAGAAGGCAGGGAGTTTGACATACGCAATAGTTTATGTTTGAATGTATTTTTTATGTATTTTTTTGAGAAATATTATGTATCGTGTTGCATTTTTGAATTAATGTATGACTTTTTACTTTTATTTACCTTTAGTTAAAATTAGTTTTCCTGCGATTTTACTTTGATTTTATGTTAGTATAACTTGGCCTCAAAAAATTATAATGTTGGGACAATGGTGTTGTTCTGAAATCACTCAGGGGGATTTGAGGAGATGCATCTCCGAAGTAATCCCTTTGCAATTACCACGCTTTCAATACTTGTTAAATGACTTTAGGGGATATTTTGGAGACATATCTTTGAATGCAACTAGATAATATACAAAGATGCATCTCTGAATCACATTTTGATCAAAATGGGGTGAATATCATAATAACACATTTACGTGTGATTTGGGTGCATTCGGAGATGCATCTTCGGACACATGAAGAGAAATTTTAGATTTTCAAGGGTCTAGAATGCACATAACGGTGTAATGAAAATGTTCCAGACTGACCCAATGGCTAAGCATGGCCCAATCTGCTTCTGCTCCCAGAACGACCCAATTGCTTAAGTCCAACCTCTTTAGTGGAAAGTTTACCTTTCTGCTCCTCCAACAGGGAAGACTGACCAATTTACCCTTGGTCATAGTACCTCTCCCCGTTAGTCTATGCCTGTCACGCACAGTTCCACCACCCAGAAACAGCCAAGACGCTTGTGCCCGTAACTATACCTCCGCCCGTCCCAACGGCTAGTTATGGGCATGCCTAACCGTCCCAACGGCTAGTTCTGACAGTTACATATTCTTCGGAAAACAGTTATCTCGCCTCAAAAATAGGGACCAATGGACAAGCGCTGGGGGCACAATAAAAACCCTCTCACTTGAGAGGGTCAGGTATCAAAATATTCACCCTAAAACACTCATATTATGTACTTGCTCTCTCTCTTGCTCATTTTAATACTTTAGAATCGGAGTGTCTTACAAGTACACCCCCTCCTCCTCTTTCACACCCAGCACCACAGACGCTTGTCTTCGGCCCATCTCAGATTCTGACCAACTGGTAAGATCAGTGTTGCCGTCTGTGGGAAATCTTGTTATCCCCGTCTTTTCTCTCTTCGTAGAACACAAGACCAAAACAACTCTTCAAATTTCTGATCATGACTGCCCGTGACAATAATCTTAATACTCGTAACTCTGCTTTTCTCCCCGTCAACAAGACTGATGCTGATGAGGCCACCAACTCTTGTGATGGCGACGCCCTCCGACAAAGGGACGAAGCCACTGCTTCCTCGTCCCCCGCTCATACAGATCACGGTGAGGTTCCTTTTGTCCCGCAACAACTGTCAGCTCCATTTCTGCCCAACGTTGATCCAGCCACGGTGGCCCTCCTCGAGGTTCTCAATAAAACCAACCTCTTTATCCTCAACCAGAACACGAGGATTGGAGCATTGGAAGAGTCCAGTCATTCGAGATCCTCTCTGCCGAGAAAAGAACGTCAGCTACGATGGAGTCCCCCTCCCCGGCGCGAAAGGAACCCTTAAACGCCTCTAGAGCCAGAGACCCTGAAAAATACGCAAACGCGACCAAATTTCTCCCCAGAACCAACATTCCTTACATCCCAAAAGGACAAGAAAAGGCCACCAGGAAGAATCCTAACGTTCGCCTTCGCCCAGATCCAATAGTCGAGCACGAACCCCGTCTCCCCGACGAGACCGCCATCCTGTTTACAGACGGGATGCTCGCTCCCCGTCTTGGACCAGCAGTAGCAGCGACGACGAGCCTCACGACCCGTTGTCCCAGAAGATCATGTCCATGCGCCTCCAAAAAGGACTATAGAAACCTTCCACTCTAGGCACATATGAAGGAACAACTGACCCCAACGAGCACATCGAAAACATCGATGCATTGCTCGACTATCGCAACGTCTGGGGCACCGTCAAGTGCAGGTTATTTCCAACCACACTCAGGAAGGGGGCAATGACCTGGTAGAAAGGGCTTCCTGACGACTCCATCACCTCATTGAGGCAATTATGCTTTTGGGTTGATATCCTTGTATGGTGAGGAATGTCCTACACCCGAACTTGAGTGTACTTATGATAGGAAGGTGATATATTTGAGAAGGCTTATAGGGAGTGATTCCCGACCAAGCTAACTTGAGAATCACCGCTTAGTTGAGGCCCTCCTAAAAATGGTATTGTTGCACGAGTATTCATGAAGACAATTACTATTTTCGACCTAGGAGTTTGTGATACTGAGGACCTTTAGTTACCTTTAACCCCAATTGGCATTTCTTAAAACGTAGTGCGATGACTATGAGGGAGTATTCTCGAAGTAGTTGATACACGATGCTACACTCAAAAGAGGTTCTCTTAAGAATATTATTAACCACCGAGTATTCAGGAAATTGATAATATCCGAAAGATGGACTAATGATTTTGGGCATCTCTTAGAACCCTTGCTCTGCAGGTACAATCAACCCTTAGTCCACACCCTTTGGGGGATGGGTACACCTCTTTGCTCCATGCTCGTGGGTTACAAACCTAGGTTTCCTGTTTGTTTATCTCTGCGTGCTTGCCTGTGTTTGTGCATCTTTGCATTCATAAAGCATCATATTGCATTGGTTTCATGGAATTCCAAGTTTATTTGTAAGCATTACAGGACCAACATGGATTACAAAAGGAAAAATATTTTGAAATATTCTTTCAAGAGTCTTAACTTGGATGACCTAAGGAAGTTGGAAGCTTAGATTAAAGATCAAAAGAAATTCAAAGACAAGAAGCTTTTGGTATTATCAAAGATTTAGGCGGACAATGGATTCCTTCTTATTTTCTGACAAGAAAAGAAAAGAGCAGGATGATTTATTTTCCTCTATCAGACTACTCCTTAGAAGTTGATCATGGACAAGCTCATCTTCGAGAAGGTCCACCTGGAAGAGCAGATCAAGAAGAAAAATACAAGACTTCCTTAGGACTTTCTTAGGTTTCATCTAGCTGTTATGTCAAGACTCTTTTAAGAATATTTACTTGTAATCTGTTATCAAAAAATAATAAATGAGTTTCCTTTGGTATTCTGCGACGTTTATAAATGCTCGGGTACCATGAAACC